AAGGGGGGGGGGGAGAAAAAAATTTTTTAAAGAAAAAAAAAATCATTCCCTTCCCCTTTTTTTTTTTTTTTTTTTTTTTTTTTTTTTTTTTTTTGTCTTTTTCCGTGTCCGGCAATGGATCGCAACCCTCAGTGTTGCCCCCGTACCGGACCGGGGACCGGCAACGGGATCGCAACCCTCGGTGTTGCTCCCGCGCCTCGCTCAGCCAGTGAGCGGGAACCGGTCTGCATGTGGGATCCGAACCCTCGGGTGGGAGCACCACCGCGCTTCCCAAGCGGCGCACTATCCAGTGCACCACCGGGCCGGCCCGTTACTTATTCTTTTATTTGGCCTCAAGAAGTTTCATGAATCTTAGGATAAAATGGTTGTAGAAATGATACAATAGATCTTACAGACTACGCAATTATAAAATAAAGTCTCATCCAAATTGGTAGTAATCTAAAGTGGTTTCCATGTAACACAACCCTCAGATTACAACCTCAAGATTGTGGCCTCATTCTAATATCTGATGAACTAGTCACTATATTTAGTCACTTCCTAATGGCACTCTTTGTATTTGGCACCTGCATTGAAGGCTGAAGATCCCAATGCCCTGCAGAATAAGGAAAAAGCTTCTTTGGACAACACAGAATCAAGTTTGATTTTTTTTCCTCTATCATTCCTTTCTTTCCCTACCTCCACTTGTTCTTCCTCTGACATTTTCTTTCATTAATTTTTTTCTCCATAATTCAAGAATGGGCAGCAAGGAACCTAGCCACTGTGGTAGTGGATGTGCAGACACATCTGTCAGTGAAACTATATTTTAATTCATTCCTATACCACACTGACATGAATTCTCACCATCCCAACAGTGGGTTACTAAATAAAACAGTATGCAACTCAAGTTTCAGGTATTCTTAATCGAGTCTATTGTGGTATGAAAAACATACTTTCAGACAGAAGATGACTTAAAACTCCAATACTTGCATCCAGCAGATTTTAAAGAGCACTTCAATTTCCAGGACTAAATATCATACCTTTATCATTTATTAAAGCAAATATGTTTACGTGTACCTGACCCCAGAAAACTATTTACCCACAAACATTACTATATCCCATTGATATGTTTCATTATCAACCTCCCCTAAATAAATATCTGAGAAGTCTTTTATTATGGTATCTATGCTGAAGATGAAAAATAAATCACTGTCTTCTACCTCTGTACATTTAGAAGGGCTTTTTGGCAATGATAAACATTAATCTCTTTGTAATACTTTAAGTGGCCTTTCTTATTTAAAACCTCAAACTGTGAAAAATCATAGTTTCATAAAAATTATTTTCTGAGTAGCTGGATCCATCATCTTCAAGCTAACAGTTTAAACAGCTTGACTCATAATAGACATTTTCTAGAAAAATTCATTGTAGGATCATTTTGTTTATTCAATATAATCTGGCTTTGAGTTTAAGATCAGCAAGAATGCTGTAATCTGCAGTATTAATTTCTTAGATGGACCAAGACAACTCAACATTGCTCCAAAGAATGCAGTCAACTCATGTACTAGGTTGGTAATTAGTAAACCAGAAAGAAGAAATTCACACCACATAGGCAGAGGCTGAATAACCCTAAATACTAACCTTACTAAGTAGTTTTGCACTAGAGGACAGGAAGGAATTTAAAAAGGATAAATTCCCAAAAATGAGATGAAATATTCACTGTGATTTCTTGATAAGAGATGCATTCTGGCCTTCCCTTCCTTATTATCTAACTTAAACTTTATTTTTATATATAAAATTAGTTCAAGTCATAGAACATCAACTCCAGAGGGTAATGTCTATGTGCCATTTCTTTGCAAAACTAACTTCCTAATCTATTGCTGGTTTTGCTAGATGCATATTTGTGTCCTCAATTAACATTTATTAAACTAACATTAATCTCCATGATTTCTTTCACTTAATATGTGATTCTTACTGAAAAGCTGGTACCTTTGCCTTTTTTTCGGGGGAGATATCTGGAAAGCAGATATGAATAAATTCTACTTGTGACAAAACAAAGTGATAGTTGTTATAAAACATCCACTAAAATTACTCGTGAGCATTACTATTTATAACTTAAGTTTTTACATATCCACATAAGATAGTGAGTTTCATTTTGGTAGTAATGAATCTAGAGTATTTATAGCGATATCCAGTGTGGGGTGTTTTTGGCAGCTGGCCAGTAGTAGGAATCGAACCCTTGACATTAGTGTCACAAGGCTGTGCTCTAACCAAGTGAGCTAACTGGCCAGCCTGCAAATCTACATAAGAAGAATCCACATTACAAGGAAGAGTTCTTTGATCATATTTAAAATCAGGACATGAAATAAGGGGTTTCTCTAACCCCTGTCTAAGTCCTTTGCCTTAGTACACTTAATGAATATTTATTGCTCTAAATACTTTAGAAAATATCACTCATTCAAAGGGAACAAATATTGTGGTTTTCTGCTGAAGATACATGTTTCCCAATCATAAGAGTAAACCAAACATACAATTTAAAAAAAAGGAAACAGAGTACAGTGATTGAACATTGAGTGGGATGGGGGAAAATAAATAAGCTTATTTTGGCAGCTGTTTTCATAGTCCAACTCCCATAAAGCAGAACTGAAACTGCAGCTTTAATAAAAAGCTCTTTGACTAAGATATACTCATTAATTGCCTTCAAGTAACCGAGAGTGCTTGGATTTGAGCAAGCATGAACAATTGTTTAGGTACAATTTTATCAAGGAACAAAAATAAGATGGTGAAGAATTTTATAACCCGGGGTGTATAATGTAGGTTTCCCATGTCTTCAGGAGAGCTGACACCACGTCATCATGCAGCTGGTGTGACATACTGTGCTTTCTTACTGCAGCTTCTCTCTGATCTTTTTTTATCTTATATCCGTCTTTTGAGAAAAGAAGAATAGAGCATGCTGACCAGATAGAAAAAACATGATTTCCTAACAAGTTTTCTCAGTCATTTATTTCTCTTTCCCTTTTCCTTTTCCTCTGTGCTTTTGAAAGCAAAGGCTAAAGCAGGTATTATTCATTCTTGCTAGCTGCATTATACTAAAGAGCATGGTACACATCCCTGACGTTGACTCTTCTTTTGGTATATCATGAGTTGAATCCTTAATAAATGACAGCAACAAAGAAAATTTCTAACACCAAATCTTTTTAGGTTTTGTCTATGTCTGAATACTTCACTTGAAAATCTTGATTTATACTGATGTGTTTTGGGAAAAGCTGACAAACTTGGTTTGAAATGTAAAAACTGAAAAAAGTGGGAGGAAGAGAACATGCAAAATAAGTTAATCATTATCATTTTAAGTGCCATCAGTTCAGTTTATATTCAGGCACATGTGAATTGCTGAATTTCATTTGATCAATCCAATTAAACATTAAATAATTGCAGCCAATTATGCAAATATCAGCGACAATATTAATTTATTGATCTTTTTGAGCAGATTAGCCTCACATGTTTCTAATGCTAAGACTATCTTATGCCTTAAATGATCAATTAGTGTTGCGATAACTAAGTCTTGAAGAATGGATAATTGCCTAGTTATTAGTGGCACTCTTGCTGTATTAATCCACTGCAATTAAACATGGTGCACAAGGAAAAAAGATGTGCAGATGTTCCTTTTAAGTCTATTTAACAAGTTAGTGTCAAGGTCAATTTCTTGTCCTATTACTTAAACCAGAATGGCAGATTGTGTTCTCTGTATTAGGAGCCAGTTTTTAAAACTGTATATCTTTAAGTTTTCACTGAATCCGGTGGAAAGGGCTTCAAATGCTCTTAAGGTTTTATGAAAGAAATCATACAAACATAATGTGCTCTAACTTTCACAATGGCCATGTGTTGCCATACTAAATCTAGAGATGCAAAGTATAAAATGTTATTTGTGGCAAAGAAGTGATTTCCATTTCTCACAGGAATCAGAGTCTAGTTATTACCTGTTACCTGAAAATTTAAATTACCTGAAACTCTTTTCTAAACTACTGTATTAATAATGAGGTCAAAGGATTTAGCCAAGGAAGAAGCACACCCTTAGAATGATACTTGGTGAATGTGTGCAGGAGACAGGTAAGAGCACCTAATGCCTGAAAACAGACTAACCCAAGATTGCACATCACCAATTAAAAGGCCCCTAAAAGATATTTTTAACATTCCTTTTCATCTTATACTTCTCTAATTTTCATCTTACCATTCCTGTCTAAAAAAGAGCCTATGGCTAAAACTTTTGGAAAAGAGTCACAGCCCATTTGCTACGTGTTGCTAAATGCCTTAAGGACCTTTTTCCAATGCATCAAACTTTTAGAATTTTTTTTTTTCCTTGCTCTGAAAAGAGAATGAAATATGATCAGCAAAATGAAAGTTATCAGGACTGAGGGAAACTAAAATACAATGTCTGAGAGTTGACCTTCCAAGGATAAATGTTTTCTTTCTTTCTTTTTTTTTTTTTTTTTAAAGATGACTGGTAAGGGGATCTTAACCCTTGGCTTGGTGTTGTCAGCACCACACTCAGCCAGTGAGTGAACCGGCCATCCCTATACAGGATCCAAACCCATGGCCTTGGTGTTATCAGCACCGCACTCTCCCGAGTAAGCCATGGGCTGGCCCCAGGATAAATGTTTTCTATCAAGATTTGGCTTTCTCCTAGATACAATTTTAACTCACAGCTCCTAAACAAGTAAAGTATCATCTATAATTGCTCTCCCTGTACCCTAATCATGTGCTCATCCAGTCCTGATTCATGAGAAAGAGCACATACAAAAACAGTATAAAATCCAGAGTATAAGTTTTTGCTTTCTACCAAAATAATAATAATAATTTATTTTGCATTTAACACTTAACATTTGTTTCCATTTCGTTGGTTATAATATCATGACTTTTCTCTCAAGCAATATCTTCAACTCCAAGACAGTCTTCAAATATGAAGTGATTCCTCCAACTCACTATGCCTCTGATATCTCTAATAACTTAGCCCATAAAAAATAAAGACAATAAGAGGTAAATATACACAATGTCAGAATCAATCACAAATTCTAATACAGATTTCACAGTATTGAAACAAAGAAGGTACACTTCTGTAGAAGCTAAATGTTCACTCAAAGCATTTACTGAGTACCTACTATATGCCAGGCCTTGGGGATACAAAGATCTAGAAGGCACAAGACCCTCATTACAGTACAATGTGGAAAGAACTATGGTGGAAACGTGCTCAGGTCTTACTGATGTATAAGGCAGGAAGAAGGAAGATATCTACCTTAATACGGACTTAGGGGACCGGCCAAAAAATGGGACAGGAGAAAATCTAGTTTTTCAAAGTCTTGATTTAAGAAAAACAAAAACATGTGTCACATGAAATGTTTAAGATGTTTCGCAGGAAATGTTACTGATGAAATTTACCCAAATCAGCTTGCAAACAAACAAAAAATCTCATTTGGTTGAGGAGCAAAACATGACATACTAAAGAATAAACAAACACTTTTTATATCTGAATAAAATACTAAGGGAGGCACTCTAATTACTGAGAAAAATTCTATGTTATATGGCTTATGGTGGAAAAGTAAGGTAAGCTGCTACTACCAAGTTGACAAAATACTGCTTGATGATTGCAATTCATTTTCTCTGGCATGAGGAAACAATCCCCCTTGTAACACACTGATAATACAAACTACATTATGCACAACTAATAACAGGTAACCAGAGAAATCTATCATAATTCAAATCCAACAGCACACAGATGATATCCTGTCTTTTTCATTCAGGATAATATGATTGTCCAGTCGCTCTCTTCTCTTCCATACTACAAAAAAAATAATAAAACATGTTTCAGTATAAAAGCTAACAGTGCAGGAATAGCTTATAAATAAACTTAACACTGCCAAGGTTATAACAGAAGATTCACTTCTGTTTTGAACATTTCTAAGCACATTCACAAAGATTTGAGAGAAAGAAGGAAGGGAAGAAGAGGGGAGGGCAGAGACACCTTGCAAAAATAAAAGAAAAGCACAAATAGGGAGATTTTTAAACAAACAAATACCTGGATAGAATTTAACCAAATACCTGGACAGAATCACAAATTTTATAACTATTATTAGACTCAATTCATAGGTAGTGCAGGTACTTTATATATTTAAGTACCCGCATTTTCATCACCATTTTTATTTTCTCTTTTGCTTTCCAAATAAAGTAACTGAGTTAAATTATTTAGCTACTGTTCTCTTTATTGTAAAGAAGTGATGCTCAAAGTGTATTCCCCAGCCCACTAGCGTCAGCATCAGCATCACCTGGCAACACGTTAGAAATGCAAATTCACAGGCTCCACCTTAACCTGAATCAGAAACTTTGGAGATGTGTCCCAGCAACCTGCATTTTGGCAAGCACTTCCAAGAAACTCTGATGTGCACTAAAGAGCATTTTATGTTCATGGACCAAAAAAAAAAAATGTATACACACACACACACACACACACACACACACACACACACACACACTAAATTGACAAGCCCGATCAATCTTAACAGAGATGTTGTTCTCTAAATCAAAGATGCTTGTGCTATGTTAGCATCCCAATTTTCTTTTTCTTTCAAAAGTCATGTATCTGTATCATAATCAGAATTTGATTTTTGCATCAACAAATAATTTGCTTTAAAAGAAAACCCGAATTTAATATTTAAAAATGAATTAAATGAAACATAAAAATAGCCCATATGTCAGAAGTTGAAAGCTCTATATTCATTCAGTCAGTCAGTGATTCATTTAACAATCACCAGTATTTAAGCTCTCACCTGTGGAGCAATTACCGCATGCTAACGCCACTGTGACAAGATTTTACAGACTTAAATTACTTCACTGAACCCTCACAGTAACTCTAGATAGTAGGTGCCATTATCAATCCCATTTTATGGATGAGAAAATTGAATATTAGAGAGAATACATAACTTGCTCAAGCTTGCAGTTAGCAAATGTAAGAGCCCAGACCCTAGCCAAGGTCTCTCTCACACCAAATTCCTTTTTTTTTTTTTTCCTTTTTGTCTTTTTTCGTGTCCGGCAACGGATCGCAACCCTCAGTGTCGCGCCCGCACCGGACTGGGACCGGCAACGGGATCGCAACCCTCGGTGTTGCCCCCGCCCCTCGCTCAGCCAGTGAGCGGCCGGTCTGTATGTGGGATCCGAACCCTCAGCGGGAGCGCCACTGCGCTCCCCAAGCGGCGCACTATAGCAGTGCGCCACCGGGCCGGCCCCCAAATTCCAATTCTTGACGACCATCAGACTGCCCTCCACACGTTCACGTAGCTGTGTGTGGAGACACTGTCTTGAAATCAACCCTCAGTATGAGGCCATTAAATCTGTCACACTATGTGTTTGCCTAAATCACTCAAACTATGTCCCTTTACACATGAACTGGTTCTTTCAGTCCTACACAACTTTTAGTTTAAATAGGAAACATCAGAATTTCCAAATTAGAAAGAACTTTAAAGACCATATAAAATGTCAGGGATAAGCCAGATAAAGTGGGGTTCTGGATTTTATTTCTTTACTTCAGAACAATTCCACTTTTATCCATTTTGAATATTGGGATTCCAGGAAAGATTTCCTTAGAAGACAGTTCTGCTGCTTAAAAATCAAGTGTAAAGAATAATGAATTTTATTTTATTTTTTTATGGAACACTTCATGAATTTGCATGTCATGCTTGCGCAGGGGCCATGCTAATCTTCCTTGTATCTTTCCAATTTTAGTATACGTGCTGCCAAAGTGAGCACTGAATCATGCATTTTAATCTAAGCTTCTTATTTCACATTTAGGGATACGAAGGCTCTAGGTTGCTCTTAATCACAAGCATAGTACTCCAGCCTCTGTCCAGTGTTATGTCTCCTATACTACATTGCACATGCACTGTTTTCCTCTTAATTAGTTTTAAAGACCTCAGAGAGCAGAATCTATCAAATTGATAAAAATACTGGGAGCCAAGAATGGTCTACCTACTACCTTATAGTTTAAATGAAAAAGAGAATGAAAGAAGCCAAATGACTATAAATTACTTGCTTAATCCTCATCAAAGAGTTGCCTCGAGTATAGCCTCCTGCTATTGACTCTATTGCTTCGTGACAAATGTTGAATGAAAAATTTTCAAATTCTGTCTAATTTATGTCTGATGTCACCATGACTTAAGGAAAGAACAAAATATGTTTATTTCCTGTATTTAGATTCCCATTCATATAAGGCACTTTTGCCATTAATAACAATTGAGTGTCGGTGCAGTGACATTTTAGCAGATCTACAGAATTGTGATTCATGACTACCATCACTTCAACTTGAATCTCGTCAGTTAAAGTAAATTTACTTTCAATTAGTTGTTTCAGTTTTATGAATGATCGAAAATCAATTTTCCTTACAATGACAGTCATAGGCTGTATCACTCTACAAACCTGCATAATATGTATTAAGTTTTACCCCTCTCATTTTGCAATTCATGCTTTTATGTAAAGTCATAGCATTCTAAGATGCAGCCAAGAAATGTGAAATTATAGGTAGGTAATTCATAATGCCTAGACCTAGACATTCAGCAATCAAACTGTTGATTTTTGGCTGATGGATAATTCAATTTAATTTTTTAAGGAAAAATAATTCTAAGTAGAGATGGCCAATTTTAACAGAGATAGAAATTATATATTCTTCCTGTAAGAGTAGGCGTCCACAGATGAAGGGGAAAGAGAAACATGTCTGCAACGGCTAGGATGTCATTCTTCTATTGTTAGAGTCATTACAAAACCACAGCAGCAGGCTCACACCTTCAACATTTGGCAGGTTCACCGCAAGTCACACTCACTTAGCTTTGTTCTCTGGAATCGGAGATGGGGCCAAGGCACTGTGGCAAATTGGGCTACGCCTGTAGGATGGTATTTTGTGCCCATGTGGAAGACTATCAGTGTGATGGGCAATATTTTAATCTTTTGCAAGTTCCAGTTAGAACACTAAAGCAAAACATGACTAATGACAAGTTCGTTTCTTCACATTCCAGATGCATATGGCAAATAACTTGATATGGCCTTTGCTAAGTGCCTTTTACATTCAGCAGGAGTCTCTTGGCAACACAAAGGACAACCTGCATGTCATGTGCTCACTCTCTACATTGCCAATAAAAATATAATCGGTGCTGCCCACCAGGTCACTGTCGTCATTGCTCTAGACCCTACTGAAGAGCTCTGCAAAGCTTTGTAATCCTGTCACTTGGAGAAGGATGTCCTGGGAACAACAAGAGGTTGGGAAGCTGGTCAAGGATCTGAGCCACTAAGGCAATCTGGAGATATGAAGTTCATGTGCACACAAAGAGGACATCTCAGGAAGCAGGCAGGGAAAGGGGGGGCGGGGCCTTTAACTTCTCTGGTTACTAATGAAGCAGTTCCATTGAAAACAAGAAAAATACAATCTTCACTAATCTGTCACTGGAGCTGACAAAGCTGAACCCACTAGTGAGAAAATAGATTTTTATTCTATCTGGTGACCTGCAATCCATACATATCCTACTTCCGTCCCACTCCAGCTTTCCTTTTCCTAAACTGCTTAAGACATCTTACCTCCGGGTCTTTGCAATTGCTACTTCTCTCTTTATGGAACCTCAATAGCAGCAATGCTAGTTACTCATACAAGCTACCCTTGATACATAAGACCTAGACTCCAGCTTTTGTCTGATTGTGACCACAGTCTCAATGTGTATCTCATTTGGAAAAAATCTAAGTCAGGTTCTTTCAAGTATTTTTTTGGAAAAATAATGTGACATTATTCAAGACCTTCCTCCCATCTCCTCTCAGAATGTGTTAACATATAAGAGCAATATATTTTTTGCTCTTTAGTATTTGTTTGGTCCCTCACTCACCCACTCATTCTTTATTCATTCATTCAAGAAACGTCACTGTGTGCATACCATGCCCTAGGCCCTGTAGAGAACCCAGGGGTATAAAAAGAGAACAAAAATTCCGATAGTCAATAGCCCTAGAAGAGAGACGAGTGTGTGAGTAATTATCACTAATTTAATGCCTTTATGCGATCATCCCCAACACTATGGAAACTGGAGGAAGAAGTAGCATTTAAGTGGGTGAATGTGTATCTGGACGCAGGGAAAGGGATGTTGATCAAGAGAGATTTTTATAGGTTCCAAAAGGAGATGAGTCTTGAAGGATAACCAAAATCTTATCAGGTGAGCAAATTGTGGGAGGAGATGCAGCCAGGACAGGAGGCATCAGACAGCAGAGCTAATTTGGAGAACAGAGAGGACCCCAAATGGTGGGAGCAAAGGCGAACATGATGGTGAGCAACTGGAACAGCATAGAGTCACAGGAGAGAAGAGAAACAGACAACACAGCCAAGGTTCTCCAAGATTACATTTGGTTAAATACGAACACAAGTGTTTTACTTTGTTGCTTAAAAAAAGGAAAAAAAAAAAAAAAAGAAGGAAAAAAGAGAGAAACTTTCATTTGAAATGTTCCCCTCCTAGGAGGTATTTATAGAGTAATCTAAGACCCAGAGAGCTATATGGATAATTAGCTAAATGAGATGAATGCTTAACCTCAGAGATTGACTCACACACAGAAATTAAAATGAAAGTAAACTCTGCGGTTAAGAAGGAATCTCCCCCCCAGGTCATACTGGCAAGAATCTTGAAGGTTTTTTTGGTGGTGGTTGTTCCCCTCTTCAATTTACCAGAGCACTTTGTAGGAAACATCCATGTTTATGTGTAATGCCAAAAGAAGTCAAATGTAAAACATGATACAGTTCTATGCTTTTTCCTCAATAATTACTTAAATTATTTTTCTTGGAGAGAAACGGACAATGTAGTAGCTTGGCTGACAGCACCAATTTGCCATCTTGTAAGAGAATAATTTTGAGACTTTAGGTTCCACGTGCACAGGCAAAAAATAATTGAAGAAGAAAAATGCATTCTTAGATTCTGAATGGTTAGTGCTTTGTTACTTAGCAATTTGTAGCAGATTGGGTGCTTCTGATGTGTGGTTAATTGGAAATCACTGTATTAGCTCACGTCTGCTGTGATTGTATCCCTTTGTTTCTTTGTTCAGTATGGAGTTTTGAATGCAACAATATTTTTAGTGTTACTATCATAGTACTACTATCTAGTACCTAGGGGAAAAAGAGAAATTAATTTCTTCTTAGCCACAAACACTAAGTTATATAGAGAATATATAACGTTAGAGTTTCGAAAAGCTGTATTTTTTAATCATACTTTGCTTCGCATGTATCTTTGATTTTTAAACTTTTTTTCATGGGCTCACACAACACTGAATATTTGTTTTGTCCTTTTATATCAATATGCCTCCGCTTCTTTAACTTTTTCATCTTTTTTTTCACTGCGATATTACCAGCATCTGGTACAACCTCTGGCTCACTGTTTGCACTCAGTACGTGTATTGGTTGAATGAATTAATCAAGAACACTAACATTAGTCACATACTTTTGGCTTCCATGATCTTACTTTAAAAAATGCTCTTTCAGAGAACTTTAGTAATGGCTTCCTATCTTGCCCCCAAATTATGTGTCTGGGCTTCTCTTTTACTTAATCCTCTCAGGTTCTAACACATCTTCTAACACCATCTCAAGGTTAATGAGTTACATTTCTGCTTTTGCCTCCTAATTTTTCCTTTCTTAGTCAAAACCTCATGATTAAGTCTGCTGAACACCTCTACTTAAATCTTTCTTCCAATTTCAATTTTTCTCTCAGCCTAGTGGACACTGTTTCCTGCCAATCCTTTACAACCAAATCAAGTAAGTTTAAATTTTCTTATTTCATATAATCCCCAAAAGGTAACCCTGAAATCTGGCTTTGTGTATTAATTGCTATAGAATGTATACAATTTGTTTGAGAAAATTCTGTATGATTTGTTCAAGAGAATTTTCTAATGTGGTCTTTCTTTCTTATATGACCAAACTTCTCCTCTTAAAAATCTCTAAACTCCTATTTTGGATAAAGGCTTTCATACTCTAGCCAATTTTGTTGTTCTATTTATGTTCTTTACTTGAGCAAAACTGTAAGAATTTATTATCTTCATATTTACTCAGACAACTCAAAAAAATAAAAATGCCTGAACCATCAATGCGGAAATTTTTATCAGCTAAATTACTTTCAATTGTTTCTGTGTACAAAGGTAGAAAACAACTCTGAGTAAATTTTATTTCTTCCAATGTTGAGATATGCCTTTATGTAGCTTACTGAAAATTCTTATGGAAAGCCTTTGTTAAACAGTGGAAGTAAGGCAGCTCATTGATTCAAAAACCACATTCTTTCCTTTTAATACTACAAATTTTGTATAAGAATTGCTGTCTTTAAAAAACACCATTTTTATCACTATCTAAGGACTTCAGTTGCTTTCAAGAGACCTGCTGCTTTCCCAACCAATGCTAAACTTTACTTAGTTTTATAATTCGGTACCATCTGACATGACCCAAACTATCAAATTTTATTTGACATTTCAATATGAGTCTCAATCCCTCTTGTATATTTTCACTAACTAGCAATGATGGTATCTGGGCTCAACAAAATTTTCCAAAAACTTTTGAAATGTTTGCATTTTTCTAAGTGGCCCAGTATCATCTCATATTTGATATGCTTGCTTAACTGCCTGATGAGACATTACTGCAGGTTGTTGTTCAGAAAAAATAGGCAAAACAAAATTAGCACTATGAAAAAAATAGGTGTGCATACCTTTCAACCCAACAATTACAATCCCAGGGATTTATCCTAAGGAACAAATCAATTTTTTCATAACGGTGAAAAAAATTTCCAACCTAAGTTTTCAATAATACAACTTCTTTTAAAAGTTATGGTACATCAATATAGTGAAATTCAATTGAATTTTATAAATGATATTAAGAAAACTATTTATTGATATGAAAGAGCAAAGAGTCTATTAAGTGAAAAAAGCAGGTAACAAAACTACATATAATATAATCCCATTTTGTTAAAAAAAAAAAAAAAAACTACCTAAAAGTATACAAATGCTTACAAATATTGAAGGTTAAGACATCAAAAATTAACAGCGGTTATATCTCAGTGTTGAAATCACAGGTAATTTTCTTCCTGTGCTTTCCTCTACTTTAAAGTTTGTTCTTTTTCACATAGGTATGTTATACTTTTTAATGAGATTTAAAGATGTTATAAAAATTTATAGATTTTTTTCAAATGTTAAAATAGAATAAAATAAAATGTTAAGCAATTTGGAGTCCCCGACAACATTTATTTTCCTTCTTTCCTTCCTTCTTTCTTTCTCTCTTTTAAACATGTATCTTCTCTTCCATTTCTGCCTTGCTCCTGTCCACACATACTATCATTTGTCATACTTAAATTTAACTTACTGATCTCAAATTGTAATATCTACTCTCTTCTCTCCACTGAAATATGATTTGGTTCTGAGCACTGACTGAAAAGAGGTAACAATCTGTAACAAAGAAGTCCTTACCTGGATGTCAGTCAATTTGTTCAAGATACGGCTTGCAAGCTTAGGACCATTCTCCATAGTTGGAATGTGTATGTTCTATGAAAGAAAAAGAAATGAGCTAATTTGAGGATATTCATGTATATAGTGATAACAGGTGAGACGCTGGGCAATCCTACTTTGGTAAGGTGATTCCACCGAAATAAGGAACAGCATTATAATCTACTGATTATACACATTAGCTCATGCCAAAGACTCTTTCCTATTCTGAATTTAAATAAAAACTAACCAGCCAATGAAAGGTTGTTCGTTGCCTCTCAACTGATTTGGGGGCACAACTGTTTTATATGCCAGCTTTCAGGCTGTTTGAGAAACCAAAGGGAAGCTAGGGGTACCTAAAATAGTGGCTAAACTTAAAGAACTTCAAGAAACTTAAAAGAATTTCTTCCAAGATTCAGAGAATCTGTAAGGATGAATGACCGTCCTCTACATCTGACCCTCTCTGGCAGGAAATGAGAACGCAAAGATATCTGGCCACAAAAAAAGCACGTCATTTCAGGGGCACGAATTAAAGCAAGTCTGTGCCTTCACAAAAGGGGCTTCTAAACCTAACTCTGATCCAAGCTAAACCTCCAGGGTCCACAACCTCCACAGTATTGGAGAGCATGATTAAATTTATGGTTGAAAAATGTCATGCCCCTAATTTGTATATGAGTCATGCCCACTCATGCCTTACTGGCATGTAGGCTTTTGATGGTTTGATTTTAGTAGATAAGACTGTGCTCTCAAACACTTTTCTTATTATGATGTTTAGTATAATAGGATAATAAGATGTACCTTTTGGCTGTAAATGCCTCCTAAAGCAGAGCCATTAAAAATATGTTAATCTTTATAAACTTCTTATTTCTCGACATGAAATAATAATTACACTTAAAAAAAAAAAATCTGACCAAGGGGCCGGCCCGTGGCTCACTCAGGAGACTGCAGTGCTGATAACACCAAGGCCACGGGTTCGGATCCTATACAGGGATGGCTGGTGAGCTGAGCGTGGTGCTGACAACACCAAGCCAAGGGTTAAGATCCCCTTACTGGTCATCTTTTAAAAATAAATAAATAAATAAATACTTTAAAAAAAATCTCACCTAAGAGATACTACCATAACAAAAATACTAAACAGTAGCTTCATAACCAGTGTAAGTATTGATATAAAATAGAATAATTCTTCTCCCATGAAACAATCAATCTGTACATGGAATTATGTCAAAAGCCATCCCTTAAAAGCAAGTTCTAAATCCACAAGCAGTGAAGCAGTCACCGTTAAAGTCAGCAGAAAAATCAATCTGATCAGCTGAGGAAAAATAATTGTAATGTAGAACTTAACCAGTAGAAAATGTATTTAATAAGAGTAATTTAAGCCAATTCACATTGTAAGAACAACACCCACATGCCTTTAAGTTATAAAGTTAGAAGCTGATGTTAATCATAAGTATTAAAGCTTTGTTATAAAGAGAAAAGCAAAAAAAAAAAAAAAACGATAAGAAAACAGAACTACTACACCACACATAAAATCAGACTGATTTATTAAGAGAACACTTCTTTCAATCAAATCTTTGAATTCCTTTTGGAAGATTTTGGTAAATGTACTATGTTTGCCAAACAAAAATGTTTTGTAAAGTGGTCTACTTAATAATAACAATACCAGCAGTGACAGTAATCAATGACAGTGATCGTTCAAAAGCACTTTCCATAACTATTCGCCATTCCTAACCCAGTAGTTTGGAAGTACTGCAGGAAACCAGACACTGACAGTCGTAAAGCCTTCTTCCTTAGTGAGCTGGTAGAAAAAGAGGTAAGCGTAGAAGTCTTGGCACAACTCCAGTCAATCACCGAGTTAGGGTAAGGCAGATACGACACTTTGTTTAAGGACGAAATTGACTTCCTGCTGTGTTTGGGCTTATACAAAAATCACTGGAAATATGATAGTAATATGCTAATACGGTTTATCTAGACAAACTGTCCCAGTTAATGAAACTCCAAAAACCCTTTGCATCCTGGGTGCAACTAGAATTGCATTCACACATTAAAAAATTAATTAAATTATAGGCAAAAGTTTGGAAATGACAGGAAGCAAAGAAATACTCATCCTACCTCGCCTTTGTACAGTATATCAGAAACTGGGCAAACAACGCAGGCTGTACCAGAGCCAAACATCTCCCTCACTCTGCTCCCCTCCAGGGCAGTTGTCAGGTCATCCATGGTGAGGTACCTCTCTGACACCTTAAATTCACCCTGTTTAGAAGAGAAAAAGTAAAAAGCAATGCTTATCTTTCTACTTTACATTCTGATTGAACTCAGATAATGTCATAATCATCCTTCGAGGGAAAAGTGGAAGGGGCACGCCTTCGTACTGGTGAACACAATGAAGTGTTATGAAACCTACATCAAGGTTACAACATTTATAAATGAGATTACCAGAATATAAAATATAAGATTATTACAAGATACATGGTATATTTTAACAAATGTGTTCTTTTTTGCCTTTTATTTCTTGTCATGGATAAAGTCACAAATTGATACATACTGAGGGCTCCTTAATGCATGCTCCATGATAACAGTGTCTTAAACTCTATTTTAAAGGAGAACAATGTCATATCCTATTAATAATTATAGCTGCCATTTATTGAATACCCATTACAAGACAAGTTTTGTAATTCTAAGGTAGGTATTATCATCCCATTTTACAGATGAGGACTAAGGTTCAGGGAGGTTGAGTGACATCCCCAAGGCCACATAATTAGTCAATGGCAGAAACTGGATTTGAGCCCAGGTCTGATCTGACTGGCTCCACATCTGGCCTTCTCTCTACTGTGTCTTTAATGAAATAAAAAAAATAGATTGCATTGAAATATATGAATGACTCATTATTTTAAAAAATTGAATGTATATTTGAACTTTATTAAAGAAATTACGATGTATATATTTTTTCTTCCTAAATTCACTATCAGTTGACTTCACAGTGATAACCCTCTTCCTTCTCTCAGTATCGTATTCCATTGAGTTTCCTCATGGAATTAGTGGTACAACTTCATTAACTTCTGCGATGACTTCTGCAGAGCTGTTTGAGTATCTTATTTGCTCAAAAATAGGAAATGGAAAAAAAATTCTAATGCTTTTTAAGCTATCTGTTTAAACTATGTTTGAATATTCATTCTTTAATCGGTTTAATTCTCATTCTTTTAGTGGTTAAAGTTCAAAGTTTGTCAACAGGCTATTAGAATTAAGGGCAACAAAGAATAAATGAGCTAAGAAAAAAAATAAGGTGAGAATATTTTTTAAAACCTACAAATCCACAATGGATAAAAGTAAAAATTAAAACTCTTGGCAAGATTCAAAATCCTAGAAGAAGAACGCAGCATGCTGTAAGTAGATTTGGAAAGATAGGAAAATACGTCTGCAACAGAAGTATGGCTCGTTTCAATTTATCTCAGTCTGCAATTGCAAAGGTAAATAAATAAATTCCAGAAAAAAAATCAGCCAGGTTAATTGAAAACAAGCTGAGTTCTGAATTCTGGAAAAAGGGAAAAAAAAAAAAAAAAAAAAAAAAAACAACCAAAAAACCTCTCTTGTAAATGAACAGAATTGTTTTTCCTCTGCTCACCCCTACTTATCTTTGGACAATTTCCCCTGTCTGGCAAGTAGTGGTTACCCCCCACATGCCTCTTGGCATTTTATGTCTCACTGTTTTAAAATAGCTTTTAAAATAAATTATAGCTAAGGAACCAAGAAAAAACTTCCTCCATAATAACCTATTTTTCATGCTAGCAAATCATTAGTGCGGGAAAGCAGTCCCACTTGCAACTTGTCATCAAACCTTCTGTACTTGGTTGATTTTTTTTCTTTAATAAAACAAAAATTACTGAGCTTCAAAAATATATCTTTCCAACTGCAAACATATTTAGGACAGGGCAAGCTGTTTGAAATTATACCAACAGTTTGTAAATGTCATGCCCAATGTGCCAGCCAGCATGTGGCAGTTGGGTCTTGTCTACTTCAGGGTTTTGTAGAATTATTTATAGCACATTTCCTCCATTTTCTAAGCCTTTTCCAGAGAAAGTATGCTAGTTCTCTCCTAGATAATGTGTGTGTTTCTAAACATTTGTCCTATTAATACTGTTTGACCACAGCATGCTCAAAGCCTTTTCATGTTCTTTGGAGACCATTTTAACACATGGGTCAAAAGTTCCATCCAGGAACCTTTGCCAAGGAAACCAACTCATTCAATATTCATCTTGAATGTTATGTTATTTCCAAAACCAAATAGTTTAATATGCTTGCCTGTGTCACACGGATTTGAAAGTCTACAGAAAACAATTTTACATTTACTTGAGGGTTTTGATTTTTTTTTTTCCCTTTTTGTCTTTTTTCGTGTCCGGCAACGGACCGCAACCCTCAGTGTCGTGCCTGTGCCGGACCGGGACCGGCAACGGGATCGCACCCCTCGGTGCTGCGCCCGCCCCTCGCTCAGCCAGTGAGCGGGAACCGGTCTGTATGTGGGATCCGAACCCTCAGCGTGCTCCCAAGCGGCGCACTGTAGCAGTGTGCCACCGGGCCGGCCCCAGGGTTTTGATTTTAAAATAAGCATATATATTAATTTGGGAGGACGGGGGGCAGGAAGGAGGGAGAAAGAAGGCAGCCAAACCAATAATGTTATGTTAGTAGACATTTACATGTCAGTAAAATTCTTTTTTTTTTTTTTTTTTTTTCCCTTTTTTGTCTCTTTTTACTGACCAGTAATGGGATCGCAACCCTCAGTGTCGCGCCCGTACCGGGGACCGGCAACGGGATCGCAACCCTCGGTGCTGCGCCCGCACTGCGCTCAGCCAGTGAGCGGGAACCGGTCTCCACATGGGATCCGAACCCTCGGCGGGAGCGCCTCTGCACTCCCAAGCGGCGCACTATCCAGTGCGCCACTGGGCCGGCCCTACATGTCAGTAAAATTCTTTAATCTCTATGACAAGCATGGTTACACGGGAATAAATAGGGGAAAGGAAGAACTAAGTATCACTGCTATTTGGAAACAATACACTTAGTCTTGAAAAGTTAAGGACTGGCTGAATGGAAGCACACAAACTATAAACCAGATAAGCTGGCAGGAGGTACCTTGTATATAGATGGAGCCAAGTACTAGAATAGTTCTTCACTAGGACGTCTTGCTAAACTGGTTTCTCTCTGCCCTCCCTATAAACAATACTTATTTGATAGTCTTGCCAAGACCGTCCTTCTAGAAGAGTTCTTTTCACTCAAGTTCAGCGAAAAGATTAGAGATTAGATTAAAGATTAGATAACTTTGGTTGGAACCACAGGATGTCATTTCAACACTAGGCAGGGCTTATTTCGATTACTTTGTGTTTCAGGCTTATGAGAGCTGTTCATGTCAGAGGCACCCACCCACTCGTGTGCCAGGTCCAGAATGCACCGCCTCGTCACTCCTGGGAGAATGATGCCATCTAGCGGAGGAGTTGCCAGTTCTTCTTCTGTCAATCAGAAAGTGGAATATTTTCAAACTTTAACTATATTAGGCATGCCTTATATCAACAGCCATTTAAAAAAAACATTTCTCACAACTTGGCTTTGGTAATAAACATAAAGAAAATGCTCTGCATTATCAAATTTCCCAAATCTCTCATATCAAGTCACACTTCAGGTAGATCTTTATTTTACAAAACAAGAAAAAAGAAGAGAGAAAGCTACTCAAATAATCATCTTCAGATTATCTGTAACCATTAAAATAATGAGATGGTTTTCCACTGACAAATAGTAAGAGTTATAGAATATTCTTTTATTTATTTATTTATTGTCCTTTTTTGTGAAGGGCTGCACCGCGCTCAGCCAGTGAGCGCACCGGGGCCATCCCTATATAGGATCCGAACCCGCAGCGGGAGCGCTACTGCGCTCCCAGCGCCGCACTCTCCCGAGTGCGCCACGGGGTCGGCAAGAGTTATAGAATATTCTAAAGAGAAATATTCTGAAGTTGAATTTACCTAAGTAGATACAGCTGATTGGCTAGTAATTAGAATAAAGCACATAGGGTCTTACTCAGGAGCACTGGGCATTACCAGACCTTCTAAGAACACTGTGCAGTGTGCATGCTTGCTCAGGCTTGGTCACTGCTTCCACGCTGCCCCTTGAGAAGTCAAGCATCAAGTATGGAGACACTGACTTTGCCCTCTGAGATTCAAATGTAATGAACTCAGGGTGAGCTCAAGCATGTACATGGCATGTCTTAAAAAAAAAAGTCCAAAAACAAAACTGCAAGGCCAAGCTAGTGGTCTACTGCCAGGTGGCTGCAGGCCCCCAACCCACTGTGAGGGCTGGCATGACAATCTGTCTGTAGGTGTCAGGTGTGGTCCGTCAACTGCACCAGCTCTCCTTACAAAAGGCTTTCTCCGGGACTCCATGTTTCCCTTTCCTCCCCACCTTTGCCACCCAGGAATCTGAATCTAGTAAAAAATTCAAACCTCATATCATCACCTTATAAAGATGCTGACTCATAACAGATGACATGTTGCCCCTCATGTGTCTGCAGAGATATGCTTGAAAGGATCACCAGGTAGTAAAAGCTGTGAAGAAATCTCACTAGTGTTTCTGAGCTCCCTCAGGCGATTTTATGCAGCTAAAAAGAAGTTTAGAACTCACCTAATTCAATCCTTATTTTACTGAAGAAGAAACTGAGGACCTATAAACATAAGTGGCATGCCAAGGTTGGTGACACAGGGGAAAAACCAGGACCACAGCTCAAGTTGCTTGACACTGAGGCCACTGCCCTTTCCCTCAGTACACGGTGGTTCTGGGCTTGCCTGCTCTGCTGTGGTTACATCAGTCGTGCCCAACAAGCACTGTCTGGAAGACTGAAACTGCACATTCATCCCAGTAACCCCAAAAGCCAGCATCGTGCCTGGCCCAGACTGGTATGTAATAAATGTTGTTTTTGAGCAAAAAATGGTGACCTAAAGCAGAACCAGTAGAAATGGCAGTGAGATGAAGTATCATATCTTTCATTAAAACAGAAACACCATAAAGACAAACAGCATTAAACAGTGGTTCTCAAGTCAAGGTGCGAGTCAAATCACTAGAATCCCTTATGTGTGGGCTTTGGAATGTGGGTGTCTCCCCCCCCACCTTCAAGAAGCTCCTCAGGTGACTCTGATGCATAACATTTTCGGAAGAACCAAGAGAAAATGTTTTTTTTTTTTTTTTTTTTTTTTTTAAGTTTGTTTCTGAAAATCATCTGTTGAAAATTGCTTTCTGGAAAGAAGAAAATTTGTTCTTGGCAATGTTCTTAGGGCTACTTTTTGTCATGTTTAGAAGTGTTGATCTCAAAATAAACATGTGTTTTGCCATAGCTAGCTAGTTAGATACATAAATGTATGAATGTATATGTGTGTATTATATATATACACACACATACACGCACACTTCCAATGCCCCAAACGACCTTTTCTAAAGCTTGCTGAACTCTAAAACTACATAAAATTAAATGAAAACAGCAGCCCCGTGTGTGCAAATGCTGTTTTTGAAATCTATTTAACACCCAGAATTGTAACCACTAACCCGAGGTCAAGGAACAGAACATCTGCTTCTCTGGTTGCCAGACAGAGATGATGACATGACAACATTTGGGTGAGAAATATTCATTTTCCTCTGCAACCACAAACATGCTTACAGAAGCCAGAACTAACTCCAGATTGGCCAACATGAGGAAAACAGAACCTACACACACAGCTTGTTTTTGACAGAGAAATCATTTTTAGGAGATGAGGAATTTAGAAGCAATAACAGCAGGATTCATCTGTGACTTCCCAAAGTCAAGCACTCATGGAAACCTGGAATGTGGGTTTGCATAAATGCCCTAAATACCATCAGCACAATTATCCATTTATTCAACAAATATCTACTGAGTGCTGTTTACTGTTCTGAGCTCTATGGAAACAGTAGTGAACAAAATTGATGTTAACTCCCTGCTCACTTTCAAATAGGCAGTGGCAAGCAATTATGGTGTTAAATGGTACGTAAGCCTACAGAGGTGTATAAAAAAAAAAAAGAGGGAAGGCCAAGGGGGGACAGCTGGGGAGTTATGGGGGAGGGAATTTATAATTTTGATTAAAGACTCAAGGAAAGCCATACCGAGAATGGGATTCGTGAGCAAAGACTTGGAGAATGTGAAACTGCAAACCAGGCAGACATCTGAAGAAGGGGCTGCAAGCAGAGTCAGTACAGGAGCCTGGCATGCCCGAGGAGGCTCACGGGGCCTGGGTGGGCTGAGCGACATCAATGTTCACTGCTATGATCGTGCACATGGGAAGATGGCAGGTTATTACTGCAAGAACTCTGCTTCTACCTCCTATGAAGAAAGTCTGTGAAAATCAGTATTTGGCTGATTTTCAACTCATTATTCTTTGTTTTTTCCAAAAGCCACATGGTATAAGTCAAACTTATTACAGAGTTGCTTCAATGTCTTTTTTTTTTAGCCAAAGGTTATTCCTGACATTCCATTTACTTCTCTCACTGTACTGTTCACTATTCCATTTCCTTTATCCTCATTTCAGATCTTATTTGATACATTAGGTGAAGCCCCCCCCCCCCAAACTGAAGGACCACCTTAAAACTAAAGCTATCCTGGGCAACCATAATCTAAATAGCAACTCTTAAGGTCTGTGTATTTTGCAAGAGGCAGAAGACAAATTCGCTCATTTCTATTCTGACCTTTAAAAGCCATGGTGGAAATTTTCCATAATGATTGTTTGGACGAGAAACAATTTTTCACCAGGACAGTAGCTCTGATTCAGACTGAGCTTAAATCCTGACATCTCCCATCCATAAATAATAATGATAACCACTTCTGAATGATGTAACTGTTTTTGTTTTGGGTTGTATGGGTTGGTTTGGGGGTGAGGGTGGGAGTAGGCAGGTAAGAAGAGTTGAACCAGTCTATTACCTTCTAAGTGCAGAGTTAAACACTGGCTATCATCTTTCAGGCACAGCTTTTGATATATGTCATAAATTATAACTCAAATTTAGAAATCACAAACATTCCAGTATAAACTTTGTTTTTAAATAGTGCCAAGTACAAACAGCAAGAATGGAAGAGTGAGCATGATCTGTATCTGGCTTTTTATATGCCAAGGATGACCACTGGCCAAGCCCAGCACAAGGTGTTCCCACCACACTTTCTATTTATTCTACCCCTGACTGGAACATAAGGCTCAACTCATTAATCTCCACAACCAATTCTCAAATTAGTCCATTGCTCTGAATCCAGCCACATCTGAATCACCATTTTCCTCTTTTTGTAGCCAAATAACATAAGAGCAACAGGGGGGCTTTCTGTAGCTGCTTTTCAATTTAAAAAAAAAATTTAATTGAAACCAACACTGAGGCTTCATAAGTATTTAGACACATCATTTTACATTTCTAGTCTCTATACTTGCTACTGTGAAATGAACAGCTGAAGACTGTAAACAAGCCTAAAAATATGTTTCTAAATTTTGTATGATTACCAAAATTCTTTTCCTTCTTTGTTTGGGCAGCTGGCCAGTACGGGGATCCGAACCCTGAACTTTTGTGTTATCAACACCAACTCTAACCAGCTGAGCCAATTGGCCAACCTCCTGTATGGCTATCGAAATTCTAATGAAAATAAATTCAACATCTGTCCCCCCACCACACACACACTGTCATTGGCCATTTAATTCAATACCATATATATTGCCAACACGTTACTGAACCCCCTATGGTCTCTGCCAACAAATTTAAAAAAGAATAGCAAAAGAAAGGTAATAAGCATTCAGAATATTATTATAAAGGTAGTGAAGAAGTTCTGATTTCTTCTTTTTTTTGGCAGGGGTGAGGGTAACTGGCTGGTATGGGGATGTGAATTCTTGACCTTGGTATTGTCAGCACCACACTCTCCCAAGTGAGCTAGCTGGCTAGCCCCAAAATGTACTGATTTCTATAGTAAATATGCAGTAGTAGTCTTGAATGAACCAAGATCTAAGTACAATCCCAAGATACAGAGATTTGTCTTTAAAAACAGTGTACTTTAATCAAATTGAATCTGGAGGGCTTCTGACATTATTATTAAAATAAGCAGAAAGAGCAACAATCATTAAAAGAATTATACCAAGTGAGTACACTAAACTCCATACTAGTAGAATTGGTAGACCGTGTTTATTGCTATAGCATTTTATACACAGTTTGTGGTGAATGACCACTGAACTGACCTGAGACCTAGCTGCACACATAAGCTGTACAGAAGGGGAAAATGCAGCTCCTTAAGTCAACATCTCAATAATTAGTACATCTAGAGGCAAAAACCAAAACATTACCCTTATAACTTCTTTAAACTGAAACACAGGTCTACTTAGCACAAGCCCAGTAATTCTCAGCCTTTGGAATTGTGCTCCCGACTCCCTGGATCTAAGTTTCTACTTCTTGTCTTTCCAGTCCCATCGAAAATGATTAAAAAACAGCACACAGCTATTTGAGTGGATTACCTCCGTCTTCATTTATCCAGTAAAGAAAAAGATTCATAGTTCCAACTTCAGTTATCTGGTTATCCTTTCCATAGAGCCACAGAACTTGCTGGCACCCGTTATCCACTGCTTCGCACTGGGCAAAAAGAGATGAGCCGTAATTCCTTTTAAGAAAGAGGGAACACACTGATTACGAACATACTTCATCCCGACCTCACCATCTTCTACACCCTAATATCCTCAGGTCTTAATTCACATTGTGATATAGTCAACGTACTATGTTCTTAATATACATACACTCTCTAGTTAACTGCTTAACCTTAACAGAAAACTTGTTAGAGAACTTAAGTGATCTAACTGCATTCATCTGAGAGAGAACAAAGCAAAATCTTGGAATCCTAACTTGAAAAGTAATGACACGAGAACACAGGTAAATAGCCAAGTTCACAAGAGCAGTTAAAAGTTATTTTTCCTCACACCAAGCAATTTTACATGAACTGTTTCATTTAAACCTCACAGAAATACTATGAGTAACCACTCTCATTATACCCACTGTTCAGATGAGAAACTGAGGCTTGGAGAGGTAACTTATATCAAGTTTACAGCAATTTAAGTAGAGCACCAAATCTGTGCTCTCTTATCTGGAAATTTCCCCCCATGCAGCACCACATCATTTTATTTATTTACTTATTTAATTTTTTGAAACATAATTGACTGTACATACCTGAGGAACACAGCATTGAATGCAAAATATGATGCTCAAATCAAGATAATTAGATATTCAACATTACACAATGTAATCACTTTTGAAGTCCTTTACCAATTTCTCTGAGACTTTTTAATATATCCAAAAAACACCTAATGCCCAATGTCTAAATTACCCAAAAGGTGGGACAAATGTTAAAAATCCCGATTCTGACTAAAAAAGTATTTCAAAAGCTCATTTTTCTCAATGCACATTATTTATCCCTGATTATTTAAAAATCAAAGAAACACAACACATCTTCAGGGAATGACAATTTAGTAATATTTTAAATTTATTATCTTTTATTTAAACTTAAATGGGAAAATTAGTGAGTATACTACAAAATACAGATACATGTTTTAGATAGAACACGAGAATCCCCAAGTATTTACTTGAGAGAGCTTGCTGCCTCCCTACACCTCCAGTCATGTAATTCACTTTCCTTGGCTTTCCGAGGACATTAGCAAAAAGTAACGTTTGTTTGAGAAGCAATCAAAAAAAACAACTAAAACTAGTACAAAGCATTAATGTAATCGCCCCTAAAATACCCACTTAGGCCTCTTAAAACTATTTCTTTTACATCCAGGTAGGATTAAAATTTGTAGTGTTCCCTAAATAAAAGCATAAATTAAGCATGAGCACCATATTAATAGTGATACCTGCCATTTTCATCCGCATAGCCTCCCTTCCCACTATATTCCCTTTATAAAAACGTGGCCCTTCCTATGGAGCCAAGTCATTCTGCTTAGATTGACAATCATAGCCTCATGCCTTGCCACAGTTGAATTAAAGGGTGGGCATGTCACCTAAGCTACTCATATGATTCCTTCTTTGGGCTCATTCACTCGCTCACTTTAATGTATGCAACCTGAAAGACAGGTATTTTCTCCCTTCCGGGGGGTTGCTTACTTGGTATGGTGTAAGCTCCACCCTTCACAGAAGAAAGCACCTGAAGTAGGAGAGCCCTAGGACAACACATAGGCAGAAGTGATGACAAGAAGGGGGAGGGGGAAGAGGCAGGTGGAGGGGCGGGTAGAGTTGCAAGGGCACAAGAAACCTGGCAATAATAATCTCAGTCCCTAGCAAGTCCACTGCTACCATCCTAGTCACAAGGGCAGTCAATGCCTTCTCCACTTAAGATTGTTTCGGGTTGGTTGTCTGACTTGCAACTGAAAGAATACTAACAGCTAAATATTCTAGAAAGCTGTGGAAAACAGAAATTATCCTATGTCTGTTGCAACTGGGGCATGAAGAGATTGACTCACACCAATGTAATGTTAAGATTCATTAGAACACCCTGACGCATAAACTTCAAAACACAGATGACAAAATGTAAAGTTTTGGTCAATCAGGAGATGATAAAAGTCTGGTATCTAGATAGAATGTTTTTACTTGTTTAATGACTGTAAAAAGTTAGGTCATACTTATTCAAAACTGATGGTAAATAGATGATAACTGAGTTAATTATGAACGCCTTCTAAGAATGACTATAAACCAGACTGCAGGGGAGTCCAGTGCAAAGATCCTGGGTTTGAGGTCGGCAGGCCTGGGTGCAGCTCTTGCACTTCTATGACATTCTATGGGTTTGGACAAATGCATAATGACATGTGTCGACCATGACGGTAGTCAGATGTTTTTTTTTTTCCTTTTTGTCTTTTCCCGTGTCCGGCAACGGATCGCAACCCTCAGTGTCGCCCCCGTACCAGACCGGGACCGGCAACGGGATCGCAACCCTCGGCGTTGCTCCCGCGCCTCGCTCAGCCAGTGAGCGGAAACCGGTCTGTATGTGGGATCCGAACCCTCGGCAGGAGCACCACCACGCTCGCAAGCGGCGCACTATAGCAGTGCGCCACCGGGCCGGCCTGGTAGTCAGATTTTTAAAGCCAGGTCTTCCTGACTTCAAAGCTTGCACACCTAAGTGCAGAATGAGAATGCAAGGAAAAGAAAAACAGTAAGAGAGAGAAGGATAATTGTGAGTGTGTTTGTGTGTGTGAGAGACAGGGACAGAGGGAGTCAGAGAAGCCTGATTTATTCCAAATAAACTAAGAAATTGCCTGGGACTGTGATGAAAGACCTTCATCTATTCAGAGCTTCTCAAGTTTGGCTGCATGTTCAAAAATCTTGATGCTCAGTCTAGGCCCTAGACCAAAGAAGCCTGAATCTCTACAGGTGGGAACCAGGTATCAGTACTTGGTAAAGCTCCCAGGTGATTTCAATGTGGTAGCAAGGCAAGGCCCATCATGCTAGAATTGTCCTTCAGCTGTATGCCATTGTACAGCTAACCCTTAATCACATAGGTCTGAACTGCACAGGTCCACTAATATGAAGATTTTTTCAACCAGTCACGGATGGAAAATACAGTATTCGCAGAAGGCAGAACATCAGAAGGAGAGCTGACTTTTCATATTCACAGGGCCGACTGCTGGCCTTGAGCATGTGTGGATTTTGGTATACTCGGGAGGCCTAGATCCAGTCCCCCTCGTATACCGCGGGATGACTGTGTTACTTCTCTCACTTATGTATATTTAGAAATAAGAGGATAACGCTATCTCTAATGGCTTCACAATTAGTAGAATAATTGTAGAATTTTTAAAAATGCTTCTCTCCCTTCCTCAGACTCACCTAAATAGAAAGTAGGAGGTCCCTGAGCTTATGAGAACCAATAGTTATTTAATAATATCAATTGACTACAGGGGTCCTAAAAAGTGCTGGGAGGATATTTGTTGACTTAATTAGGTTAAGGGCATAATAATAATAATACACCAATCTAAAGTTGCCTCCAAACGTCTTTGGACTAAATAGGATGATATTAAGGGCATAATCGTTTGTTTCCCTTGTACCGTCCAAGCTGGAAGCATAGAAGTAGATTTGGAACCTTTTGGAGTGACAGGCATATAGGTTAAAAATTCATTCTTTTGGTTACTGCCTTCCCTTTTGCCACTTTAGCTTTTATTTATGAACTCCAGTATTCTCCTCTCTAGTCTTTTCCTCTCCTAACACATTTCAAGTCAACTTCTATTGACCACGGTCCACCTGAACGTAGTGAGTCAAAGAATTCATTTTTTTAATAATAGACTTTCTTTTTTAGAGCACTTGTAGATGTACAGAAAAACTGAGCAGAAAGTACAGAGAGGAGCCATATGCCTCTTCCCAACCCCCTCTCAGTTTCTCCCATTATTATCACCTTGCCTGGATGGGGTGCACAAGTCCAGAATTTACATTAGGTTTTGCTCTGTGTTATACAAAAAGCATTAATTTTTAATTGGCTTATAGTGATCATGTATTCTGTGATACTGCACTATATCAACCTTTATACAATAAATTACAACCTGCCCAAATACCAGTTAATAAAGATTTCCCTGGGCTAGCCCCGTGGCTCACTTGGGAGAGTGCAGCACTGGAAGCACCAAGGCCACGGGTTCGGATCCTATATAGGGGTGGCCGGTGCGCTCACTGGCTGAGTGTGGTGCGGACAACACCGTGCCGAGGGTTGCGATCCCCTTACTGATCAAAAAAAAAAAAAAAAAAAAATTTCCCTGAAATTCCTATGTCCCCATGTTATATTTACCCTAGGCAAGTAGGGGGAGCTAGAAAGCAAGATTTAAGAAAAGGAACCGTTTTCCTTGTTACTTCTCATCAAGATTGTTAATTTACTGTCATGTGTACCCTAAGAGAAGTTTTAACAAAGTACTGCAGATGGTGTGCAGTGGTGCACACGCACATATTCTGTGAAAAAGTCTGAGCAGCAAAAAAAGAAATCAAGACAGTAAATAAAAGGAGCTTTCAACCTGGCTAGCCTAGGACATGGGAAGGAGTGCTCTACACCAGAAGGAAAATACAGTGACTTCATAGTTTAATGGGCTTTATTAGGATTTCTCTACCCATTGAGGGAATGCGGTTGCTGGAGCTGCCAACAGGGATGTTGGGACATAGAATTTTATAACAATTCTGTTTTGGAAGTGGGGGTTGGGAGGGAGGAGAGAAAGGAAATTTACCAAGACTACAGAAGGGTCAAAGCCAGCAGTCACCACTCTCTAACATCCCAGCAGCACGTCATTCAACTCTCCCTCCTTCCTGAATCTGCATGTTGTAGCAGGGCCCACAGGACTGCCACTGAGTCACCCCCAGGACTGTCGCTGCCCTGGCTATGTGATGCACATCACCACTTGACACAGACAAAGAAAGAGCCCACACTGCTTAATCCAGTTATTCTTGCTCACCCACAGAGGTAATCCAAATTCACGGCCAAGTCCACCCCTGAAATTGTCCAACACTTTTCAAATGCTCTTTTACATCCTGCCAGCTACATATGGCCTATGAGACTGGCCTGATGGAGCCAGAGCAGGGCTGTCCCTCAGCCAGTTGGCAGCAGGTGTGGCTACACTCTGTGGCAATGAAGACAGCACACTTCAGTGAAGCAGGCACCTTCCCCAGACAGGACTCCTTAGAGCCAACTGAGAGCCTCGGCCCCAGGACCAGATGGTCTTTAATGCCAACCAGCAGCCTGCAGCCAAGGAGGACCAGAGTCCAGGGCAGTTCATTCAAAGCTCTGGTTTAATTCCTGATTTAGTTACTTCGGTTCTTGCCTATGCATGACATGCAATGTTTCTCCCTTATAACGGGCCACATCCTTTAAACAACGAGCACATTTAAAACCCTGAAAACAGGAAACAGACATGAGCATTAAAGTTTGAGTATTATCCTAAGTACTCATATTGAAGTGAAATGGTAATTACTGCATGGTCGTGAAGGAGTCTCTCCTATAAACAGACACAGATTTACTTACCCTCCCATCTTGCAGTCCCCAGTTCCACCTTCCCAGGCTCTTACATACTTTGGATTAGCCCACAGGGACACAGGATTAAAGGTTCCACTTGAAAAGTAAGGTCCCACTGGGCTCAAGATTACAAAGAGCAGAGCTTTGGTAGGCTTCTTGACTCCAAGAGAAGGCTGCAATAAAGTAAAAGTACACACATCTGTAATTTAAAATGTAGACACAGTCCTAAAGTCTAGAATAGATCCGTAACTATCTCCCACAAGGGGCCGTCCAATCAAAGTCACACAAAGCCTAACAGTGTTTTAAGGAAAAAAAAAAAACCATACATATGCACAGAGAATAGAGTATTTACATTTCGTTTTGCTTTGCTCTCTGAGTTATGTTTTTAGAGAAAAAGTGAATTTGTCAATTTTTTTGTTTGTTCTTATTTGTTAGTAGGGTTTTTAGAGGGGAAGCATATTTTTAATAACTAGCTATACAACACCTATCCAGGTAGTACTGGTTGGGAATTCAGAAAAGGAAGAACCCAGACATGTTGTTAGTCTTTGGAGGTAAAATATAATATTAGCTTCTCTAACGTGCCCTTCTGTTTCACACCTAGTGACTGTGTCAGGACACACCAGGGCCTCCTGCAGCTGGTGGGCATAGGGAGTTGGCCATTACCACACCTGACTGTGCCAGGTGGCAAAGAGCAAGCATGCAGCCTCTCTAGCGGTAAAGACATCAAACAGGATAAATACCTTCAAAAAGGTAGGGGATGAATGACTCAGGAACTTGTGTGACAAATAACAAAGACAGAAGACAGCCTTTCCACAAACAGTAGAAAATCATAAGCCAGCAATCCAAATTCCTCTAGCACGAAAATAGTTATAAGTAATTAGGGTCAGGTGTTTTTTAAGAAAGGAAATTGAGAGAATGAAAGCTTGTTTTTTTCTGTTTGGCTGGTACAGGGATCAAACCCTGCACCCTGGTGTTATCAGCTCCATGCTCTGAACCAACTGAGCTAACCGGCCAGCCCCCAAGAGAGAGTGAAAGTTTTGAGGCCTATGTTTTATAAAGGCAAAAAAGGTCACTGGGTTGTTCTGTGCAATTCAAGACTACAGGAAATAAGAAAACAAGTCAGGACTATCATGTTAAGTCTCTGGATATATAATCTGCTTGTGTCCAATCTATTTAGCAGCGGGCCTGCCTGGATGGGGGCAGGTATCCATCATGCACAGAATGAGAATAACAAAGGAGGAGATTCAATTCTAGCTCATTTTGTGGCTTCATAATTTTTGTTGAAACTGGCTGAAAGTGGACTTTGGGATATTTTTATTTGAATTTTCGATCATACCTCCTCCTAGTATCCATTGCCCACTGTCCCTTGCCCACCACTTAACACCCAGATTATCAAAACTCAGGTAGGTAAAATATTCATGGGCATAAAAAAATGTGTCTGTTTATGTGCACACCGATGTTGTCTGAAAAGCACACTACCACCAGGTAACAGGAAGAGGATTCCATCAGCATTTCACGGGACATGCGGACCGAGCAGGGTCTGAGTGGCCACAGAGCAGACCAATGATGGATGACCGAGTTAGAGAAATCAGTCAGCAAGCACAACAGGTTTGGGTTTTTTCCTTGCTTGTTCCTTAATGGGGGCTGAGTATTAAAGGATCACTTTTCTTCCAATGAAGGACGAAGAGCCTTAACACTTCATTTGCCTTTTTTGGTTTCATTGTTTGGGAGGGAAAATCTCAGCAAAATATACAAATCTGTCTTCCTTCCCAGCTCTGATAAAATCTGACTACTTTATCTCCTAGCTACTTTATCTGTAGCTATCAGTCTAGAAAGGACCATGATACCCTTGTTTCATGGGTGCTGAAGCTCATTAGTTTAGACTTTTTTTATGGACCCTTGTAATGAAGAACTAAGAGAAGCTTGTCAACATAATTTAGAGATACAATATACTGGACATAGTCTCAATCATTTTCCTAGCTTCTAAGTTCCTAAATAGAATAGATTATTTGTTAACAGGCTAATAGCACTTTATTAGCTATCACATGAATGCCTGGGACTTTTCTCACTCAGGACTCATGTATTTTACACAACCTGCACTGTACTCAAAAAAGTAACAATAACTCATCATCATGGAAAGTTTTTTCCTGAGATACATTTCACTTTGTTCATTTCCTTTACATGATTTCAATTAACAGGTAAACCTGCATTTATTCCACTAGGTGGTGGTACAGAAAGCACAAATGGAAAACAGAAGCAATAATTCTATACATTAAATCTATTTCTAAAAAAAAAAACCCTGATAAGCCCTTAAGTAATACCATTTTTCTTAGCAAGCAGGTAAATTACAGACTAGAATGTTTCAATGCTGAAAGAAAATGTGTTTGTGTGTACTAACACTTTATTTTCTGAAATTTAACCAACGTCAACTCATATTTTACAAGTACTTCAAATACTGGTGCTGATATGTCTTGATCACCTTCACCCTTCAATGCTTACTTATAGCAATTGTCTTCTTATAAAAAGAACTCTGTGACTTTTGTGAAACTGGTCACACTGCTTCAGGTCTGAGAACAAATAAATTATAGCTCTAGGCCCAAGGAAGGGAGCTTGGTGATCAATCTACCCTCAGGAACCATTACTTGTTGCTTTGTTTTAATTCTCCCTTCTTTCTGAAGGAAAATTCTGAAAAGCAATTTAAATTCCATGCTGCTGTGAAGAGTACAGTCATGTGTTGCTTAACATTCTGAGAAATTCATCGTTAGGTGATTTCATCATTGTGCGAACATCATAGGAGTGTATTTACACCAACCTAGATGGTGATGCCTTCTACACCCCCCAGGCTCCTTTACAATCTTATAGGACGGACCACCGTGGTATATGTGGTTCCATGGCTGACTTGAAAAGTTGTTATTTGGCACACGACTATATTTTATTATACAATACTAATCGAGTGACTGAACAAAATCCTATGATGACAAGGTCAGGCTTCTGATTGAATAAAGCAAAAACCACATAAATAAAGAGAAAATATGGATGACAACAGCTGGTGAGTTGTGCAGGTCAGTTTCAAGAAGTCTTATTTCCTTATGAACATTTTGATTGATTTTTTATCCTTCTCTACTAGCATCTTGGATTATTTAAATACATGAAAAACTGAAAGGGACTTTTCAAAAACCCTGTGAAAAATGAGGAATATAAAATCTCAGGGCCGACCCGTGGCTCACTTGGGAGAGCGTGGTGCTGACAACACCAAGTCAAGGGTTAAGATCCTCTTACGGGTCATCTTTTTTTTTTT